GAGGAGTGCACTTTTCAAAGACTTGGAAGGTCGTCCTTCCAAGAGGAGGGGCAGGATCCGTTCTCGGTCCTTCCAGAGTACAGGACACGTCAGAATGAGCTCAAGCAGCAGGAAGCTAGATTTTGGTGGAATATCAGGAAAAACTTCCTAACTGTTAGAGTGGTACGACAATGGAATGAATGACCTCGGGAGCCCTCCAACGCTGGAGGCCTTCAAGAGAAAACTGGACCATTATCTGTCCAATCTGCCTTGATTTGGATCCCTGCCTTGAGCAAGGGGTTGGACTCGATGGCCTTCAAGGCCCCCTTCCAACTTCACGACTCAATGATTCTATAAGACATTGATGGTTGGATACAGTCCTGTTAGAAAATCCATCCTGGGGGGTTTGGGGAATCCTTTCCTTTGTTGAAAGCCATATTCCGAAATCAAGGGTTGCCCATAGGGGGGGCTGAATGCTCTCCATATGTAGGACTCTCTCCAAGGTGCTGAAGCCATTCTGAGAATCAATGCGCTATCCATGGTGCTGAAGCTATCCATGGTGCTATCCATGGTGCTGAAGCTAATGGGAGAATTAAGGACAGCAATAATCTTTCTCCTGGCTGTTGACCACCTCCCAGATTTTCATATTTTTTTCCCATCCTGGGCTGCTTTCTAAGAGATCCGTCATCCCTCAGTAAGCATAATTCAGTAGCTGAAACCCAGTAGTAAGTCACAGTGAGAGCAATCCCGTCGAATCAGTGGGACTTAAAGAGCCATTGATTCATTAAGTGGCCACTGATTCTATAGGCCTGTTAGCGGCTGGATTTTAGCCACTGAGTACGACAGGATTTTCGATGTATTTCGGGGCTGATAGCAACAGAGGCTGAAACTAAATTCTTTCTCTCTCGGGAAGATACGTGGTACGGATTGCCCTATAGCCATATAGACTGCAGGGTTGTGTGGCCATATAGCTTCCAGCCAAGCCGTAGATCTCTGGGAAACACAAAATCTGCACGCATGTTTTATGCGATGCAAAGATACGCATGTTCAGATGTGCCACTGAATATTGGCACTGTCTCATTATCAGCTCTGGCTGGAAACCCCAAAACAGGCAGGATCTAACCCGAGAGAATTTCTCTCTGCTGGTGGTAAGGCTTAAACTTGCCAATCAGAAACAAACAAAAAAATGAGTTAAATTCCTAGCCACCGCCCCCCCTCCCCAAATTTATATTTTTTAACCTAAAGTGGATCTAACGAGCCAGTAATTTGATTTGGTCTATAACATGCTTTTAAAGTGAGGGGATAAATAGAGCGGGCCTGCATAAAAGGTAGCTATTAAAGGAGAACATTGCGAGGGATGGTAATAACTTTAAATTAATGAGGCCGCTCCTCCTGGGCGGATTCTGCTCTCCTCTAGAACTTTCCATGTTATATTTATTTATTCATAAAGCCAACTTGCGGGCTCTGCCCCCTCCCTGCTTTCTCCCGGGCAGCCATTTAGCACCGATTATGAAGAAATAAAGCAAAATTGATGCTGATTCCGGCCAGCTTTGGGGGATAGCTTGGCGTTATAAAAGCTCTTTTGCCTGCTATTTGGTGGGGCAGCCTTGTCATAGCCAGGGTGCTGGGTTCTGATCAAGATAAAGCTTTATGGTGAGGGTGTTTGCTGCTAACAGCAAACTAATGCTGCATTTTCATTTGGCTGCAATTAATGTTAATGCCTGCGACGAAAATTGTCATTAAATACCATTTTAAAATCCATTCAATTTGCATATGCAAAGCCCATTTGCTATCGTGTAAAATACTGGCTGGCATTCATCACCGTCTCTTGCAGGCGTCTTTCTTCTCCATTTTATCTTCCCCTCCCCCGTGCCTTTTGTATAATCATTAGTCTTTATTAGCAAAATCAACTTTAAAAAAAGAGAGAAAGAAATCTGTCGTGTAGCATCAGATCGAGAGCGCTGCACCAAGCAAACAAAGGCTTTTGCAAGATAGGGGCGCTTACCACCTACAGGACGATGGTGCTTCCAAATGTCTAGAATCTGAGCAATGGTGACCATTGAGATAATAAACAACGGAGGACTTGCTCGTCCTGTAAGAATCTCTTTCTTTTCCTGCTCTATACAAATATATATACAGTGCTGCCTCGCTAGACAGTTACCCTGCATGACAGTTTTTTCCGCTAGACAATGACTTTTTGTGATCGCTATAGCGATTTGCAAAACAGTGATTCCTATGGGGGAATTTCGCTGGACAATGTTTGGTCCCTGCTTCGCAAACCAATTTTCGCTAGACAACAATTTTGACAGCTCCCTCCGTGCTTGCAAAACGGGTGTTTTCGGGACCTAAGCTTCGCAAGACAGCTATTTAAACAGCTGATCGGCAGTTCACAAAGCGGCTTTCCTATGGCCAATCTTAGCTAGACAACGATGATTCTTCCCCATTGGAACACATTAAACAGGTTTCAATGCATGCCAATGGGGAAATGCTTTTCGCTAGACGATGATTTCGCTAAACAGCGATTTCAGTGGAACGGATTATCATCATATAGCGAGGCACCACTGTATACAGTATGTAATAAATTGCAGAGGGCTGTGTGGCTAGCCACTACACCTCTTGGGGGAATTTGTAGGGGGGATCCGACCCTCTCCCGCTCACCGTGCTGGCCTCCCGTAGGTCATGTCCACCGGGACATTTGGAGGGGCTCTCTTGAAGCGCCGTTCATCTTCCTCATTCAGGCGGAAATCCTTAGTTTGGCGGTAGAGGTTGTGCTCGTGAGCCGTGACGTAGCCGTCCTTGACCGCTTGACGGTTCGAGGCCTGGTAGTCGCGGGGTTTCTCCTTTGCCAGGACGGCTTTCGGCTTCATCGTATTCCAGTGGCCGATGGCTAGGGTCGAAGGAAAGCCAAGAAAATCGGTTCTATGAGCTGCCAGAATCCTGTTGGCATTTCACTCCAGGGCTAAGTGGAATTGCGTAGGTTGCAGTGGTGAATTGCAGCTCATGAGCAAGGGGCTGGTTTTGTGCGCAGTTGAGTGACTGGTGCGTGACCAGCCATGCAACGGGCGTATTGTTTATTAGCTACCATTCACTACCAAGATTTGCACTCATGGTTCCCAACCTTGATTCCCCGGAGGTTTTTGGACTACAACTCCCAGAAGCCTTCACCACCAGCTTGTGTAGGCTATGATTTCTGGGAATTGTAGAACAAGAGCCTCTGACTTACACAAAGAAGTTATCCCAAGTGCTAAATCTCTCTTTTTTTGGGATCAGTTTCAGCTTTGTGGATCGTTCATGGAAAGTTCGGATTAAAACCCGGAACGGTTTCAAGGCTAGGCTATGATTTCTGGGAACTGTAGAACAAGAGCCTCTGACTTACACAAAGAAGTTATCCCAAGTGCTAAATCTCTCTTTTTTTGGAATCAGTTTCAGCTTTGTGGATCGTTCATGGAAAGTTTGGATTAAAACCCGGAACGGTTTCAAGCCCCTACCGAAACCAGAGCCTCTAATCTCTGAGGACGCATCGTCCAGAGAGCTGCATGTGCTAGTCATTCAGCTGCTCTTGTGACATGAAAAAGGAAAACACAGCTTTAAGAGAAGTCTGAACATTCCCTTTCCTTAGAAAGTCGTGTGAACGTTTTGGGAAGACGGAAATAATAACAGCAGAAACCGAGAAGGTTTGGTACGTCTGTCTTTTCATCCTACCTTCCGGCACACCTCCATCGTTTCCGTGAAGGTATAACCCATAGTTGAACCCGTAGCCTGGAAGAGTGTAGCAATTTCTACGGGTTTTCCCAACTTCTGGCTGCAAAATGAAGGATAATTAGGACAGATAAGAGATAATATTAAATAGATGCTCTCTAATGCTTTTGCTGTTTTGCACGAGGAGAGAAAACAGCTCTTATCTCCACCTCCCCCATGTCATCTGCTCAACCTTAGAACGGCAGAGCCGGAAGGGACCCTGTGGGGTCATCCAGTCCAACCCTTGACAAGGCGGCCCAGGTTGAATTCGAACTCCGAACCTCTAGAGACCTCAAGCACTGAGCGATCCAGCTTGGTTAGAGTTTGGAAGGAATAAGTCGTTGTGAAGCAGAGCCAGCCTGGATGGCCTTGGGTATGTTGAAAAGGAATGTTGAAAAGGAAGGTCAACCACTTCTAAAGTAATCTTTGCCCGGAAAACTTTGAAAAGAGTTGTTGTAAGTCAGAACTGTCTTGATGGCACATGATGATTATTAATGTAGTTATTTATTTATTTTTACCATTTTTATACTGCCATATCCGTGCAATGCCTTACTCTGGGCAGTTTATAACATGGGGAAAAAGAACAGCCAACCATAAGATTGAAATGAAAACACACCGAGAATACCATTAAAAAACAGTTACCTCTAGCTACTTTTTGGGAAAATGAAGTTACAAAGTGGTACAAAGCAGCACAGCAAACAGGAATTAAGTTACTTTACAGTGCAATGAAACGCATTTTCTAGCTACTTTGGAAAGTCCACTTTTTAAAGCTTTGGGGTAGAATTTTCTGCATTTCATGGTATTTTCTGATCAAGACCACTGCTACTGTAAAAAAAAAAGATCGACAAAGACTGTGAATAAGAAACGAACAGCACAATGCTTAATTGTAACACAAGTTACATTTTCAACATTTTTTGAACAAAACACAAATTTTAACCTAACCCGGGCAGATTTCATGGGCAAAAAAATCCTTACAAAATTGAGGCGGTGATGTGAACCTGAGCGAAAAAACGGGGGGAAAACCCAACCAGCAAAGAACGCCTCCCCCACATGCACACACCTTAAATACGCTGGAAATGTTAAAAAAATAAAATGGGGTTAGACATATCTACCGTGTGTTTTTAATAGCTCGCTTTTCTCTTGGGTCACGAAACTAAGAGCCAAGAGGGAGGAGAACCGAGGAGGCCGACGTGACGGGGATTTAGAGACAGAGGGACAAAAGATTTGTATGAGAAAGGGGGAGTAAACAAAGTAAGCACAAAAAAATTGCCTTTTTTATTTAGTTTTAAAATTAACTCCTTTTCTTTTCTTTTTCCCTCTGTGCACCCGGGCTTTATGGAGTCGTTGGGATTAACTGACCCCCCTTCTACCAATTTTTGCGTTTCGGCCAGGGTTGCCATGGCGAATTCGGACGGAGATTAGCCCCGAACCCTTATTAGACTTTCTAAGAAGGAAGGGGGCGAGGATGCGGCCCCGGAATGGCTGGAGTTTCTTGGGGGACGTTCGACGGGGCTGTCAGGAAGATGGTCCCCCCAGGACCTAGACGGGACTGAACTCTCTCTCGAGGCGAAACACGTTGAAACGGAAGCTGTTCTTACTTTTGGGCAGCTCACGAGAAAGCGGGATTCTCTGGAAAAAGGCCATCCTGCTGGGAAACATGGAAGGCAGCGGGAAGAGAGGAAGACCCAATAACACGAGATGGTCGGACTCCTAAAATGAAGCCACTGTCTTGAGTTTAAAAGAACTGTCAAGAAGAGGACATTTCGGAGATTGCTCATTCGTACGGTCACCGCAAGTGACGCTACATTAAAAAACTTCCTATGGCATGTTGAAGCATAAACTAATTGTCCCCATAGCGTTCAGCAGTGGTAGGTCTTTTTTTTTAAGGCAGGGTAAAAAAATATTTTAAATGAATAAATAAAATAACGCACCCTCAGCTGCCTCGCTTAGGAATCAGGCAGGTCTATCAAGGTGTCTGCTAAAATACATCTTAATAAATATTTTTTTGCTCAAAGCCTCTGCTGGTTTATTGCTGCAGAGCACAGAGAAGGGAAGAAGGTTTAAATGCTCCCAGCTCTGCAGTTCTGATGATGGTGATGATGATCTCCGAACAGGGATCTCCAGAATTTCCCCCACCCTTCTTTCCTTCCATTACGGGCTGTTTTTTAAAGCTGTGAAATGAGGTTAAGGTGGCCGCAGAGTTTCCAAAAGAGGAATATTAAAACAATTCCGTGGGGCAGATGCGTGGAAGGATGTGCTCCGATTCCATATAAGCGGACTTTAAACAGAGAGCGCTTACGGGTGCATCCACGAAAATCAATGACAATCTGAACTTCAGCTTTCCGCCCTCGTTGGCGTGAATGCAGATTTCCCCCCCAACCCTTGGCAGCTGTCCTCAACAACAGACAACTTCATTAAACCTCATTAAGATGTCATTTCACTGCCTTATTTCCCACCTCTCTCCACTCTAATTAAATCCGTCTTTTGCTATTTTTCCAAGCAGCCCTAATAATTTTCTCTGGGTACCTTCTGCAAGCCCGCTCTCCCTTTACGACTTCAGATGGGGGGGTGGAATGAACCTCTTAAATTATTCTTTATTTGGATAGATCAGCCCGGCCAGCCTTCTTGTAAAACAAAAGAGGGAGGAAGTCTTGGCTATGATTTTCTGCTCAATTTTTACATCTCGTTCCTGCTTCAGATGAGCTGACGGAAGTTGTCAATATGTTAGAGGCTTTAGTCTGCTCCAGTCCTGCATCTGAAATAAAGTAGCCACCTACACCTTCCCAATCTGAAGGATTACCTGGTTTACCATTTTTAGACCACTCAACAGTCTCACTATCAAACCAAGACATTTTGCTCCCTCTGGAGCCAATTGGCTAGTGACTGTGACGTCACCACCATATTTTCCATACTCTTAGCTTGCAGTGCGTTGAAAGTTTATCAAGGTTAAACTCTGCTTCCCTTTGAACAAGAAAAAAAAATCTCTGTCTCAAATAATTTATCCCCCCCTCCTTTCTCCTTAAAAAGAACCAAAAGTGCCCAACAAGAAAAAAAAAATCTCTGTCTCAGATAATTTATCCCCCCCTTTCTCCTTAAAAAGAACCAAAAGTGCCTCAATCCTTGAAAGAAAGTATTGATTGATTCCTTCGTTACAGTCAACAGCGTTTAAGGCAGTATTTAAAGCTAACAATAGTGAGTTGAAAGACAGTATTGATTGATTCCTTCGTTACAATCAACAGCGTTTAAGACAGTATTTAAAGCTAACAATAGTGAATATACAAAAAAGGATCAACCATAGTGATATACTTAAAAAAAAGCAACACCAAAACACATTCAAAGGAGTAAGGAACAACAATCCAATTAAAATCTCACTCAGGGAACGCTTGCTTGAAGAGAAAGGTCTTCACCTGCTTGCGGGAGGACAGCCAAGATGGGGCTGGTCCTGGCTCCAGTGGGAGGGAGTTCCAAAGTCTGGGAGCAGCCACGGAGAAGGCCCTCTCCTGTGTCCCCAACAAGTGCATGTTTGAGGATGATGGGACCAAGAGAAAGGACTCTCCTTAGACAACACAAGAGTTGTCCTGGCCAATCTTTCTGCTCGTAAATCTTTGAAATCTGCCAGTGTGTTTAGTTGTTGCACTAGGGTGGATTAACAGAAGTATCATCTCCAGATCCCATGAGGTACTAGTCCCCCTCTGTTCAGCACTGGTCAAGCCTCCTATTGAGTCCTGTGTCCAGTTCTGGACACCACACTTTTATTATTATTTATTTAAACTACAGCAAGGAGAGGCAATAAGGATGATCAGAAGGCTGGAAACCGAACCCTAGAAGGAATGGTGGAAAGAATTTGGCACGGTTCAGCCTGGAGAAAAGAAGACCGAGGAGAGATCGGATAACACTCTTCAAATACCTGAAAGATGATCCTACACAGGAGGGGCAGGATCTGTTTTCGGATCCCCCCCCACCCAGAAGCACAGGGCCCATAATAATGGGCTCAGGCTCCAGGAAGCCGCATTTCAGCTGAATATCAGGAAAAAGTTCTCGACTGTTAGAGCAGCATGACAAGGCAACCCATGACTTTGGAAGGTGGTAAGGGCTCCAACGCCGGAGACCTTCAAGAGGAAATTAGACTGCCACCTGTCAGATTTGATTTGGATTTCTGCATTGAGTAGCGGGTTGGACCCCTTCCAGCAGTATGAGTTTATGATTCTAGCCTCCAGCGTCACTGGGATGGGGAATTCATTTTGGGTTCAATAGACTTATTATTGCAAAGTGCTGAATCTCTTCGGAGATGGTTCAGCACCATGGACAGCTTCTGGACTGGACTGGACACCAAATTCTCCCTCCTGTTGACCTCTGAGGCTAGGGCCTTGGCAATAGGCTTCTGCCCCTTTGCATCCCATGTCAGCCACCCCCATCTCTGAGTGATGAGGGTGGTAGGGTAGGTGATCTACTTCCTCCCACACAAAAAGGGGGTAGATGGCATAAATAGGGGGGGGAAGACAATTGAGCCCCCCCCGGATTTAACAACATCTATTGTGTGTATTGAGAAAGGAGGAAGAAGGTTCACACGATGAAGAATGATCTCTGACTTTTCTTTTTAACACAACGTTTTTTTTCCATCCCCAAATAAGTCTGCAGTCCTTGCCAGTTCGTCCAAACCCTCGGACCCCACTGTTTTCCGTCTCTCCGAAACTTCTCCCTGGCCTTCCTCCATTCTGCTCTGCCTACATGTGTGGATGTGTGTTTATTTCATTACACCCCCTTGCACAGTAAAAAAAAACCCTCATCACGCCCCCCCCATTACTGTTATTATTCTTGATTTACAGGACCTCACCGAGCAAGGCAATCGGAGCCGCCCGGCCTCCTCCTCCTCCTCCCTCCTTCCCTCGGCGACAGCTTGAAATCAAGCTCCTCATTTGCATTTACATGATCTCGCTGCGCATCTTATTGAGATGGAGAGATTTATTTGCTACTTAGCTTGATGTTTGATTACCCTCGGAGAAGGTGGAGTGCGGCGAAGCGCAGGGGGGACGAGAGACATGTGCAACCGAGCGGCCCTGGGGGAGGCCTCGTGCCGCTCGCCAAATTTAGGCAGAGAGATGATGGCGAGAGACGGTTTTGAGGATTTTTTTGGAAGAGGGCAATAATGGGAACACGTGAAGACTTAAAGGGCCACTCAACCTTTCAAGCCATCCATCCATCCATCCATCCATCCATCCATCCATCCATCCATCTATCTATCTATCTATCTATCTATCTATCTATCTATCTATCTATCTATCTATCTATCTATCTATCTATCTATCTATCTATCTATCTATCTATCTATCTATCTATCTATCGGTTTACATCACAAAAAATAAATCGATCTCCATTCTGTGCGTGTGAACGTAGCTGCCGGTGTAACCACCATATGACTTGAACTTGATGTTTTTAAACGTCTGAATGGAGACGGATCCAGACTGACCACAATCTATCATGATTTTATCCCTTTGCCTAAGGTCACCAAAAATAAATCGATCTCCATTCTGTGCATGTGAACGTGGCTGCTGGTTTAACCACGATATGACTTGAAGTTGATGTTTTTAAACATCTGAATGGAGATGGATCCAGACTGACCACAGTCTATCATGATTTTATCCCTTTGCCTAAGGCGAGGAAAGCCAAGTGAGAGCCTGCTCCTTAAATATCTTACATATCTTGAAAGCGTTATTCCGGTGGTTATAAATCCATTCTGGCTTGACAGCACGCAACTTAACCACTTGACTTGTTGACCTTGGCTTATTATTATTTTATTATTATTTATTTTATTTATATCCCGCCTATCTGGTCGGTTAACACGTCTCTTGATTTCTTAATTCTGGCCGCCCAGCTCTGCCGGTTCTTGTGAACACAAGCTGCTACAGAATTGGAAAGCCTCAAAGAGACACTGGGCAGAATCCTGTAGAGTATTTATGCCAGCATAATTCAACCAGCATACTTTCAGAAATCAGAAACT